AGAGACACACGAGGAGAGAATGAGAGTGAGTGTGTGTGTAACCTAGGGTCCAGAATCACCATTAGGAGTGGGTCTACGAGGAGAGAGATGGTTGATTACACTTTCCATGAGTTAGGTGCCATGACTCATTGCACAGTGCGTATTTCTAAAATTAGTTTTTGAAGTACAGACCCACTGCCATGCAGCCGATGGCGACTCACAGGCAGGGTGAAGCTGCCCCTGTGAATTTCCGAGACTAACTCTTTAGAGCAGCGGTTCTCAACCTGTGGGTCGCAGCCCCATGCACAGGGGTCACCTAATATATACGATTCATCACAGTAGCAAAATTAGTGATGAAGTAGCACAAAAATGTTAGAGTTGGGGGGGCACGACACCATGAGGAAGGTTGGGGACCGCTGCGCTAGAGCACAGCCAGCCTCGTTGTCCTCCTCAGAGGACCGGTCGTTTTGCACTGACTGTGCAGTAGCAGCCCGGCTCGTAGTCACTCGGACTCCTCTACGACCAGAAGGCTTTGAAGAGTTTATGGGAAAGTTCCATGGTTTTCCAGTCCATTTGTGGAGGGAACTTTTGAGCCCCTTCGCGATGAGGGTAGAGAGGTCATGGTCCAGCCGTGGGCGCCTCCCTGGAAGCACCTTTACTCACCGGCCACGCTGTGCAGAAGCTGTGAGGGCGTGGACGTGGTGTCGAGGGGCCAGACAGGCGTCCCGGGACCAGCTCAGTTGTCCAGGGCTTCGTTTTGACACACACTTTAGTGGCAGCTCAGGCACCCCAGGGTGTGTCCACGTGGGCCCTGGCTGCCAAGGGTCATACAGGAGCTGGGTGTGCCTCCCTCCCCGTTGTCAGGTCCAGCCCTTTCTACCCACGTGGTTGGCTGAGCCAAGCCAGGTGGGCAAGAACGTCTCTGAGCACCTTGTTCCCATCGAAGATGTCCCCGAGGTCCATCCAGACCTGCAGAAGAAACTTCGGGCCCAGGGCATCTCCTCCTACTTCCCAGGTGAGGCTGCAGCCCAGTGGGGGGCAGGAGGGTGAAGGGGCCTGTGCCCCCCTGGCCCTGACTGCCGTCTTCCTTACCCAGTCCAGGCAGCTGTCATCCCCACCCTCCTGGAGAGCACCGCTGGGGGCTTGCTGGTGGGGAGGGGAGGCTTTCAGCCCCGAGACCTCTGTGTCTCGGCCCCAACAGGCAGTGGGAAGACACTGGCCTTCGTGATCCCCGTGGTCCAGGTGAGCGGGTGGCCTTCCCAGGGCTGGGCTGAGTGGGGGGGTGGCCCTGCTGATGGACACCTGCCCCCCAGGCCCTGTTGCACCGCGTGGTGTGCCAAGTTCGAGCCTTGGTCGTGCTGCCCACCAAAGAGCTGGCCCAACAGGTAACGGGGACCCCGGAGCCCAAGCTAGCTCTGTCAAGGGCATTCCCACACTAACCGGCTGCTACGTTTCCAGGTGAGCAGAGTTTTCAACATCTACACAGACGCCACACCCCTGCGGGTGGCCCTGGTCACCGGGCAGAAGCCGCTGGTCAGGGAGCAGGAAAGCCTTGTCCAGAGGACGTAGGTGCTGGGGCAGCTTGTCCCTGGGGGCAGGGGCCGGGGGGCGGGGGCAGAGAGTGGTAGGGCACCCTGAGCTCAGCTGCCCTGCACTCCACAGAGCAGAGGGCTTCCGCAGCCTGGCTGACATTGTGGTGGCCACCCCTGGCCGCTTGGTGGACCACATTGACCAGACTCCTGGCTTCAGCCTCCAGCAGCTGCGCTTCCTGGTAGGTTGTTAGCCAGGGCCCAGATCCAGGCTAGGGGCTCCCCGGGCCTCCCTCGGTGCTGGGACCAGTCTCCCTGCAGGTGGTTGACGAGGCAGACCGAATGGTGGACAGCCAGCACCAGGCCTGGCTGGCTCGGGTGACGGCAGCTGTGTTCAGGAGAGAGGGCCCTTCGGACCCCTGGGCCTTGTTTCAGCGGGTACCCCCCAAGGCTGTCACTGCTGCCAGGTACCATACGACCTCCTTCCCGGGGGTGGGATGGGGTGTACGTGCCCCCCCCCCCAGCCCTCACGACCCTGCTTCTCTGCCAGCACCTGGGTCCCCCAGCTGCCCCTGCAGAAGCTGCTCTTCTCAGCCACCTTGACTCAAAACCCCGAGAAGCTGCAGCAGCTGGCCCTCCACCAGCCTCAGCTCTTCTCCACGGGGCTGGAGTGCAGAGGGCCTGCAGGCTCTGATGAGGGTACAGGTGGGAAGTATACCTTCCCTGAGGGGCTGGAGGTGAGTGGAGGGCAGGGCAGGGGACAGGGCAGTGGGGCTGACTCCCCGGGCCAACCGTGCACCTTTCTCTCCAGCATCACTACGTGCCCTGCAGGCTGAGGGCCAAGCCCCTGGCCGTCCTGCACCTGGTCCGGGCCAGGGGCCTCTCCAGGGTGCTCTGCTTCACCAACTCCCGAGAGCACTCCCACAGGTGGGCCAGGCAGACGGGGAGGCTCCGGGCATTTCTGGCCGCAGTGCCTGGGTGGGCCCAGCTCTCTGAGGCAGCTCCTCTTCTCCTCCCAGGCTCTTCCTGCTGGTCCAGGCCTTCGGGGGAGTGAGCGTGGCTGAGTTCTCGTCCCGCCACGGGCCCGGGCAGAGGAAGAAGATCCTGAAGCAGTTTGAGCAGGGCAAGGTTCAGCTGTGAGTTGCTGGGACTGGTGTCACCGGCTGGGCGGGTGAGGGGGCTGGCTGTGCTCAGGTAGACCCTGTGTCCCACAGCCTCGTGAGCACAGACGCCACGGCCCGCGGCATCGACGTGCAAGGCGTGGAGCTGGTGATCAACTACGATGCTCCTCAGTATGCAAGGACCTACGTGCACAGGTGTGGGGGCTGGATGAGGACCACCTGGGGTGGGGGTGGGGGCTGTCCCGTGGCTCCAGCCAGAGCTGCTGTGCTTGGTTCTAGGGTTGGGCGGACTGCACGAGCTGGACGCGCTGGACAGGCCTTCACGTTGCTGCTCCGGGTGCAGGTGGGTTGGGTGCTCCGCCCAGTGGGTGCATGGAGAGTGATCTTGAGCCTCCAAGGCCCTGACACCCAGGTGCTCCCCTCCAGGAGAAGAGGTTCCTCCGGATGCTTGCTGAGGCAGGCGTGCCCACGCTGGGCCGGCACGAGATCCCCGGGGAGCTGCTGGAGCCACTGGGCCCGAGCTACGAGGCGGCCCTGGCCCAGCTGGAGAAGGCTGTCAGGGTGAGGAGCCTACGGGCTGGGTGTATCCTAGGGCTGGCGGCTGCAGCTGCCAGAGCACTTCCTGACCCTCCTTCCCCCACAGGAGGAGCGAAAGCAGAAGGAGGCCTAGGTGCCCGTCTTGGGGAAACACCACCACCCATGGAGGGGCCACCTCCCACCAAACCCATGAAGCTGATGGTCTGCACCCAGGACCGTGGGGGTGGAGGCAGGGGCCAACCCTGGCTGGACAGAAACCTCAAATTCCACCTTGTAAGCCTGAGGGGCTGCAGCCCTGAGTGCTGGCCTGCCTAGTATAGGTGCTCAAGCAGGGCGGGACCACTTCTGCTGTGACGGGGTCTAGCCAACTGCTACCCAGGTATATAAAGGAAGCTCCCCGTGGGAACTTCACGTGTAAGCCAGAGTCAGTCGGATGCTCCTCTTCTGTGTGAGTCTTGTCGATGGGAGCACAAGTGTCAGTGTCCGGGAATGAGCGCCCTTAAAGAGCCAGTCAGCCAAACAGAGTGTGAGTGCGTGCGTGCGTGCATAGGAATAGGTGAGCAAAGATTGGAGCACGGGTTAGCACGGGTTCAGCTGTGTCTGAGGAGGAGTTGGGATGAGTCAGGGCGACCGTGTGCACCTTCGTTCGGCAGCACCGTCCCCCAAAGGGAAGGGCCGATGGTCCGTCTTAGGTGGTTGAACACTGTCTTTGTGGGCTCGGTTGTGAGTGTTCACCGTGGTGCCCAGTGTGCTCCGTCTACCACGTTCATGGGCACACCGGCAGTACTGAGACATCCTGTCCAACCTGCAAAGATGCAGCCTGTTTGTCTCCCCTGCCCCATCATTCCTTGTCAGCTTCCTCATCTACACAAAGGCTGAGGGAGCACCGAGTCAGCTGGCTGGTATCCTGGCCCCTTGCAGACGCTTACAGCAGCCGTCATCCACCACCACCAAGGGACACTTACAGCCTGGAGACGCAGGCTCCAGAAAGATGGGAGGGAGAATAAAATATAAAATACAGGTGCAGGCAAAGCCCTCAGGAATTCAAGGAGAGTGTGTGCACAGCCAGGGTGAACAGGACAGCACTGAAATACACATGCAACTTCACAGAGCCCCGTGAAGTACAGGAGTCCAGAGATAAACCCCCTACACCTATGACAAACTGCTTTTTGACGTGAGTGCCAAGCCTGTTCAATAGAAGTTCTTGGGGTTGTCACCATCACACAGCTGGTGACTTCTAGACAGCAGGGCAGAGCGTGCTGCACGCCGTGCCAGATGATCTTGGAAGCTTCCTGTGAGCCGGTAAGTGCTGGAGAACAGCCGGAGTCCACGTGCTGCATCACCACCACCACCCTCCACGGATCCACGGGCAGTCTGGCCCCTAGGGTGCTGTAAGAGGCAACTGCAAGGACTGCTTGTCTAGCCTGCCTTTAGTGCAAGAACGGGAAACAAGACAGGCTCTCCCATCAAAGGTTGGTCTCAGAAACACACCGGGGCAGTTTTACCCTCGCCTACGGGGCCTCCACGGTGCATCTCCTCAATGGCAGCGGTTTGGTTTTGCACGAATAGGAACTTGGACTATGCCTCATTAAAGACATGATACCAACAACAACAGACTGGTTCTTACCAAGGTGGGATGGAAGGGGGGCTAAAGGGGTACAGAAGTTTACTTTGGTGAAGAGGCAGATGGGAA